ATGTATCTTCACCGGTGGGGGACTCTATTATGGTGGATCATGTATATCGATCATTTGTGATTACCATTGGAGGTTGTGAGTCTTGAGTTGATCTATTGTTGCTCAGTATGGTCGATTTTGACGTGATTCTAGGCATTGATTGGTTGTCACCATGTCATGCTATTCTTGATTCTCACGCTAAGACCATAACTTTAGCGATGCCGGGGTGGCTTAGGGTTAAGTGGAGAGATTCCCTAGATTATGTTCCTAGTAGGGTGGTTTCATATTTGAAGGATCAACGAATGGTTGAGAGGGGATGCTTGGCATATTTGTCCTTTGTGAGGGATGTTAGTGTTGAAACAGTTCTGGTAGTGTGGGATTTTTCAGACGTGTTTCCTGCAGACCTGCTGAGTGTGCCACCCGATAGGGACATCGATTTTGGTATTGACTTGGTGTCGGGCACTAAGCACATCTCTATTCCTCCATATCGTATGGCACTAGTGGAGTTAAATGAGTTGAAGGAACAACTTCAGGAGTTGCTTAATAAGGGCTTCATTAGTCCTAGTGTGTCACCTAAGGGTGCACCAGTTCTATTTGTGAAGAACAAAGTTGGTTCTATTAGGATGTGTATTGACTATGGGCAGCTGAGCAAGGTTACATTCAAGAACAAGTACCCTCTACCACGTATTGATGATTTGTTTGATCAACTTCAGGGTTCCAGGGTATTCTCGAAGATTGATTTGAGATCCGGGTACCATCAGTTTAATATTCGGACTTCAGATATTCTGAAGACGGCTTTCAGGACCCGCTATAGTCACTATAAGTTTCTGGTGATATCTTTTGGGCTTACCAATGCCCAACAACCTTTATGCACTTGATGAACAGTGTATTCCAGCCGTATCTTGATTATTTCATCATTTTATTTATTGATGATACATTGGTGTATTCTCGCAGCCGGGAGGATCATGACATCATTTGAGGATCGTGCTCCAAACTTTGAGGTAGAAGAAGTTATATGCTAAATTCTCCAAGTGTGAGTTTTAGCTTTATCCGATGGCGTTCTTGGGTCATGTAGTATCTAGATCCGAAAAAGACTGAGGCAGTTCAGAGTTTGCCCAGACCGTCTTTTGCTACTGAGATCCGAAGTTTCCTTGAATTGGCCGGGTATTATCACCATTTTGTAGAGGGTTTTTCATCCATAGCAGCCTCATTGACTAGATTGGCGGAAAAAGGTGCCCCATTCAGGTTGTCTGACGAGCATGAGGAGAGCTTTCAGAAGCTCAAGACTGCCTTGACTACAGCTCCAGCTCTGGTTTTGCCTTCGGGATCAGGTTCTTACAGAGTCTATTGTGATGCTTCATTGATTGGCATTGGATGTGTGTTGATGCAGGAGAGGAGAGTTATAGCTTATGCTTCCCATCAGTTGAAGCCCCATGAGAAGAACTACCCAGCACATGATTTGAAGTTGGCATACATTGTTCACGCATTGAAGATTTGGAGGTATTATCTCTACAACATGTCTTGTGAGGAGTTCACAGATCAGAGAAGTCTACAACACTTATTCAAGCGAAAAGATCAGAACTTAAGGTAATAGAGGTTGTTAGAGCCATTAAAAGACTATGATATCACTATTCTTTATCTTCCATGTAAGGCCAATATGGTGGCTGATTCTTTGAGTAGAAAGCCTGATAGCATTGGGAGTCTTGCTTACATTCCAGTTAGGGAGAGACTATTAGCATTGGATGTTCAGACTTTGGTCAATCAATTCATGTTGTTGGATATTTTGGAGCCTAGCCGGGTTCTTTTTTGTGTGGTTACACGGTCTTCCTTTTTTGGGTGAATGAAGGCGCGTCAATATGATGATCCACATTTGCTTGTCCTGAAGGACATGGTGATGCTAAGGAGGTTATTATTTGAGATGACGAGGTATTGAGGATGCAGGGTTTGACCTGTGTTTCAAATGTGGATAGGTTGCGTGAGTTGATTCTTGAGGAGGCCCATAATCGGCAGTACTCCATTCCTCTTGGTGCCGCAAAGATGTATCAGTACATGAGGCAACACTATTGGTGGTAGGGGATGAAGAAAGAAATTGTTGAGTATGTTGCTTGGTGTTTGAACTGTCAGCAAGTGAAGTATGAGCATCAGAGACCTGATGGTTTGCTTTAGAGGCTTGATATTCCGGAGTGTAGGTGGGAGCATATCACTATCGATTTTGTAGTTGGACTTCCACGGACCTTGAGGAGATTTGATGGACTGTAGGTTATTGTGAACAGACTGACCAAGTCTGCACACTTCATTCCAGTCATGACTACATATTCTTCAGAGCAGCTGGTTCGGATTTACATTAGTGAGATTGTTCGCCTTTATGGTATGCCCCATGTCTATTATCTCGGATCGAGGCACACAGTTTATATCATATTTCTAAAGGGCAGTGCAACGAGAGTTAGGCATATGGGTCGAGTTGAATACAACATTTCATCCCAGACAGATGAGCAGTCCGAGCGCACTATTTAGATCTTGGAGGACATGTTGCGTGCCTGTGTTATTGATTCTGGGGTTTCATGGGATCAGTTTCTTCTGTTAGCAGAGTTCACCTACAACAACATCTTTCAGTCGAGTTTCCCGATGGCTCCTTATGAGGCTTTATATGGCAGATGTTGTTCTTTGGTTGGTTGGTTTGAACCTGAGGAGGCTAGGTTGTTGGGCACTGATTTGGTCCGTGATGCCTTGGGAAAGGTAAAGTTGATCCAGGAGCGGCTTAGTACAACACAGTCCATGAAGAAGCGTTATGCTGACAGGAAGGCTCGTGATGTTTCATATATAGTGGTTAAGAAGGTTCTACTTAGAGTTTCACGATGAAGGGCGTGATGAGATTTGGGGAAGAAGGGCAAGTTGAGCCCTCGGTATATTGGTCCTTTTGAGGTGCTTGAGAGAGATGGAGAGGTGGCCTACATACTTGCCTTGCCACCCAGTCTATCGGTCATTCACCCAATATTTCATGTTTCTATGCTCCGGAAGTATGATGATGATCCGACGCATGGTTTGGACTTTAGTACGGTACATATAGATGGGGATTTGACCATGCACATATGGTGGATCATTGCAATCAATTTGATGAGTACCTGCTTGTCATGTTCCATCTACTGTTTTATGTGCATTTATCGCCATTTCAGTCAGAATTTGAAGAATTCAAAGATGAATGAACAAGAAAAGGAAGAAGTCATGATAGAGAAGATTTAGGAAGAAGAAGAAAAAGAAAAAACAAAAGCATGTCACTTAGAATCGCAATGAACCTGACATACCATGTCAAATTCTATCCCTAGGTCCGCCGTTGATGAGCTTCTAGCTTGCATTGGAAAAAAGTTTCAGAGAGAAGGGAACTTCTGTTTAGAGAGAGAAAGAGTACTTCTAATTAATAAAGCAATTAACAAAGGAGACATGTACTCTAATATAACTACCTGACTGACTATTCCCATTTACAATTAATACACGTGAGCTAAAATAAGCAACTCATTCTCTAAAAGTGCCAACTAACTATTCTAGAAGGGTCCAAATTAAATAGCTAGTTGTACAATTGGATCTCACTACTTATTTCTACAGTTTGACTACCAGCATCGTGTGTAACGCCTGAAGAGACTTGAGTTAGTTCTCAAGGTGTACGTCAACTTTGATCTAGAAGAAAACAATGAAAACAGAAAAGTATAACATATCTGGACGATTAATGAACTAGTGGGATCTATGGATAAGTGTAGGAAAGCCAGAGACATGATTTTGGATAAAATAACTTTTTTAACATTAAGTACAACAAATTTTCCTTTTTACCTAATTTATCGGACTATACAGTATCAGTATATTTAGTGTGAGTAAATGATTCGTACTAGTCACTCGAGAGACAAAGTTCACCTAATAATTAAAGGGAAGCATAATTTAAGTAGAAGGCAATAAAACCATCAACATGTCGATAACTTGTAATGTGTTTTAGCTCTTTTCCCTAAACCATTTTTTTCAATTATAATGGTCTTATTTATTGCTTCGTTGATTAATTTAATCTTCGTTAGTTTCTAGCTGTCGGGCTTAGAACAAATTAATTAAACATACGACAAAATTTTAGCTTAATTAAATATATTCAGTTTATGAATTTATCCCAAATCCTGCTAATTTAATATTATTGAAAGAATATATTTTTTTAGAGAGATAAAATGATAATATTATTTTTTTTCGCCTATACTATTTGTTTTTTGGGTGATATGCCAAGGGACTAAGTCATAGTACATATTTTTATAAGTAAATGTAATAATTCGAAGCATGCCCCTAATCAATTAAAAAGGTCCAAATACATTCCGCATTTGCTTCTACTGTTGGTACGAGAGGCAAATTTGGATGATTTAATTGTTCAGGGTATACTTAAGTCGAAAGATAAGGGCGGAGGCTTCTGTGAACCAATAGGTTAACGAAGATTATATATAACCCAAATCCGATAGGTTAGGGAAATTTTGGACCTTTTCAATTAAACATAATATATTAAAGTAGTAAGCTATAACAATGCAATTATATTCCTTGAACAAACTGCATCAACTAGCAAAGCTAAAAGGTGCAATAATTTTACACTAAGATTTGAAGATCATCAGATTAAAGCGCAGATATAATTTAATGAACCATGCATGTTTCAATATAATTAAAATTGTTTCAATATCTAGTGTTTGCACCAAACAAGGATATACAAAACATGTCTTTCATACACATTTTCTCTCCACTTGCCTTAGTTTGTAACTCCAAATGGCAATTTACTCTGTTTATTGTGAATAAAGGATGCATATAAGTAAATTCATGCTCCTTGTTAACTCACCGATATATAAATATCAAATATCCACCTTTCTAAAAATAATAATAGAAGAGTACTATGTGTGACGCATCTTGGCCTTGCACATATTTTAGTCACATAAATTGATTATATATGTGATGCATCTTGGCCTTGCACATATTTTGGTCACATATAACGAGCACAATGACTTACAGAGGCATTCAACAAGTAATTACCACTGAATAAATACTGTAAAGGGAGCTAGAATTCAGTGAAAGTAGAAACGACCCAGTCTAACAAATGGGGAGATTAGGGTAAAGTCAAAAAGAAAATAGATATTTGTTCTTAGGAGTTCATACAATTTTCTGCTTTTCATACATTATGTTAGCCTCCATGGACAATTCTTGGGTTGAACCTTCTGACATCATAAATCATCATTGCCATCTGATCAAAATACACAGTATTAGAATAGCCCAAAATATGATTAAATTAGAATAGCTACTGATGAGAAAGGCCAAATTATAAGCTAAGCAAGAATCGGACAATTTGATTCAGTTGTTTCATAGCATATTTAACTATTCAACAATTACTGACAGCTAGATATTTCAAAAACCTGACAGAAAAATGGAAAAATAATAGTTGCTGATCACCGTAAATGCATCATAAAAAACATCCACACACCGTTAGCACATATAGAGATTTTTTGTCAAGAACAAGTCCTTCATGTTAGTGAAACCCTGGAAGTCATTGATGACGTTGTTCTTCTTATTTAAGCTAGCTGAAAACTCACCTGATGCAGGCCAACTCCATTTACCAGCAAAAGTTGAAAGCCTAAAACAATCTTGCGCTATTTTGATGGTCATTGGAACCGACAAACCAAGACATGTAACTAGTACAAAAACTTCTCATCGCATCTTGGCGGGCCAAAGATCCAATAATAGAAAAAGAACATATCAAAATGAATGTTACTAATTGTCTATAGGCTGCCGCAAACTAACTTCAGGAGCATACCCAGTTTTATTTCCGCATCACAACACTAAGAGTTTCCATGGGGAATTAATAGACAAGAAAATCACTATAAAGTTTAGTTTGTAGACTGAAAGGGCCAAACAGAATGAGAGTCGACAAGCCAACAAGACTACAGCCTTGAAAATCCAACTCTAAAGCATCAGGCTAGACCCCTAAATGCTCGGTACTTAAGGTGGAAAACCAATCCTCCTTGCTCGTTCTTAGGTTTTTTTTTAATCGCCTTATTTCAATCACTGAATTTTGTAATTCATTTTTCTGAAGAGTTGGTTGGGGTGGGGCGATCAGTTAAAACCAAATATCCACCGCTTTGGAGAGAACTGAACTCTTGTACCCGCTAAAAGGAAAAGGAGAAACTGTTCAAGGCATTTTTCACTCGAAAATCCAACTCTAAAGCATCTCCGTAGAAAATAGACTATAAAAGAACAAAGGTTGCACACTGAAGAGAGAAGAATGGATCATGTGCCTGGATTATTCATGACGCGGATAGTAGGTTAAAAAGTAACCGCAACCTATCACTGCCACAGGAAACGGAAAAAGAGAGAAAGTGTAAACCGAGATGATCCAATCGACATATGGTAGAATTTTTCCTTTTCCAAAATCACTTGGAAACTTCTCAAAGTTCAAAGTTTAGATTGTTAAATATCAGAGGGAGGGTTTGCCAGGAAACCCAAGAAAGAAAATCATGAATCCTTAGAAATTCAAAAATTACTTAAATCTGCAAAAGATGAGATATCCGTACAACTTGAAACAGGAATTTCGTTCATGAATCCTTATCTAGTCCTATCTTGCCCTACAATATTCAAAGAATATGCATCTTTCACTTTCAGAGGAGAACGATGAACCGCAGATAGTAGAAAGTAGCTTATGGTTGAATCAAAGTCGAATAAGCTAGAAGCTAACATTTCATCTTGGAACAATGTCCTTTTAGATTATTAGAATGGAAAAAATAGACTCCTAAAGAAATCACAGTTCATTAACAGGAAAGACATCATGGTTCTAAAAGTACATGAATCTAAGAAGAGGCTTACGAAACAGATAGATTTTTGCTGCCAATTAGACAGTTCAATTATCTTTGACTTCACTTGTGGCCAAAAAGTAACAAACAAATGAGCAGTCGGGAACGCTAATGATGATAATGACCACAACAACAAAGATAAATACAGATATATTTCAGACATTTAGAAGCATTACAGATTCTACCTTAGATAATTTAACTTCTAACATCCTAATAGTGATAAACAAGGAGGTCACACCCTCATCGAGGAAAATGAAGATCAAGATTAGGAGTCATACTTAAACCATTAGAGCAAAAAAATCCAATACTAACTGAAAACTTGGTAAGCACCAGGGCAACTGATAATTGAGGAAGAACTAACAATGGACTAGTTCACAGAGAACAAATACCCTCCCCTCTTTGATAAGAATGATCTAAAGGTCATTATAGTTATGGACAGTTTTAGTGGTCTAAAGTTAGCTCTATAGGTGTCACAGTCCTGATTCACTTGAGATTTGACTCATGAGTCAAACTGAGTCATATGTACATACTGATATTTGGTTAAATGAAAACTTTCCTTTTAACCAAAAAAAGAAGAATGATCTAGAGGTCACAAGTGTGTTGTCCAGAAAAGGAATGTAAGAATCTGCTTATTTATGTAATTCTAGTCACAAAACAATTAGATGGACTCGTTTAAGTGTTGAAAACACTATTATATATAACAAACAAACTTTAAATGTCGTCGGGCCACCAAGCAATTACAAGTGGAAGGGGGAGAAACTTACATAACTCCTTGCAAGAAAACAGGCATGTATCCATATTTATATTGTGGGATTTGCAGGAAATGGGTTTGGCAATGAATGATACAGTTGAACTCTCTCCAACTGCAGTTGCTTTATCGCATTTCACTTCCAAGTCAAACGTGCATGTACACACATGATTAGTAATTTTAGGACGAAACCTACAAGCGTACGAGATAACCAAAGAAAACCTCAGGCATGAATTACTCTTGCCTATATAAACTAGCTTGCCACAAGAATAGAGATCACGAAGCACATCTTCCTGAACAATGTGAGAGATATCAACCTCCCAGCACCCTCCGATGGGTGGATCATCGGGAAAATGCATAGCATCCACATAATCGAGCTCGACTGCATTATTGTATACCTCTATTTCATGCTCCAAATCACGAATGATCAGAATAGCACGTAGTTCTTCTTTAGGGTACCGTAACATCTGAAATCTGTACAAGTGATTGTCTACAATTACACATCCATTCGACCAACTGGCTTTCAATAGATTACCCGTGCGAGCTGTCAAAGGACTCGGCTCGTCATGATATGTCAAAGGACTCCGCTCGTCATCATGTTCTGATTGGTTTGAGGATTCAGACGTGGGACTCGAATAGTCATCATATGTCAAAGGACTCGGCTCGTCATCAGGCATAGGGACAGAAGAGGTTATGTTTTCTTCGGACATGAAAATTCGGAAAGCGTGCCACTTGTGATCATGCACGCTGTAACCATAAAGATCTGACGAGCAATCACAATAAGACCATTCAACCAACCTTACGTATAGCATCTTCTTGGAGTAGTCAATAATGGTAGTGTGGTTTGAGGGTATTACATGGTTGCTAATAAAAGAGGGATTAGATAGCGAAACCCATCCTCGAGAAAGATTATTGATATCCAGCATCTCGAAGTGTGGTTGCTCATATAACATACCAGTAGAAAGCACATAAAGCAGCCCATTAAGGAAAAACACAAACGGATTGGGCATGGGAGCTTTCAACTTTGGCAAGTCTTCCCACCATACCCTATTGCAAATATCATAAACTTTGACTTCCTGTGAGTGAGCTATGGGATTAAATTGCTCATCATATTTGGGCTCACCAACAAAGTACACATTAAAGCCACCAGTAGTATATCCCAGACTCAACAAAAGACACTGTGGCCATTTGTAGGACACAACATAGTACATCACTCGTCATAGTCAAAAGCATACACACTGATGTCTTCAAAATTTTCCATAAAAAAAATTACTATGGATGACCAATTCTTGTAATCAACGGGCAATACCTCAAACATCCCATTAGGTGTCTCCATTGTCTTGTTTCCGATTTCCGCTTGCCGGTTGCAGAATTCTTGGATCCGCCGATTTCTGTGAGTGTGAGGCAGCGAGGGTTTGAGCACAATAGTGGTTTGGGGAAAAGCCTGAAGAGTGAAGACTACTTTCGCTAGCCCTTTATTTGCAAATCAATTAAAATTTGGTATTAAAATTTTCTTTTTTGAATTTTGTAGAACCGATTAAAATTTTACCTTAATTAAAACTTTAAAATACACTTCAATTTGTTTAAGGTGTAAAATGTGTAAATGATGACTAAATTCTTTTTGGTTTTGATAGTCTATAGGAAACATAGAATTTTCCTTTCTTTTTAAAATCTTAAATTCTTATGTTTCAAATTAAATTTCAAACTTTTTTTTTTTTATTTTGTATTGTGAAAGAGGCGTGCATGTTTCAAACATACAACAGAATCATAAATAACTGTCCTCTACTTCAAATTGCATGTTTTTTAAGAATTCTGTATGATATAAACTTCACCATGAGTGATATATATTTTAAAAAAAAAAATCTTGATAAATTTAAAAGCTCCCCTAACTAATATGAATTTTTTGCGTGAGAATCCTATAAAATACCCCATCTAGCTATAGCATTCAAATTTGAGATTTAAACATAAATGATTTTTAATCCAAACAAAATAATTATCTTTAGTAGAAAAATCTCTGCTGAAGTATAAGAGTCGCCAATTATGAAAATATTGTACCTCTAAATTTCAGTTTTTTGAGTTAAAGAAAAATTACAGATTCCTTCATCTATTACTTGTTAAGTATACTGTAGTTGTAAAATAATTATGGAGAAGAAAACAACGTATAAACAGAAATGTAGAAGAAGTAGAAATTAACCCGAGCACACTGAATCCATAATGTTTCCTTAAGGAACTTAATCCCCTCCTAGTACCCGAGGTTCTGGAATATTTCCTCCCAAGATAGAACGGATTATACACTGGTGTAGTGGTACTTTAAACCCCAGTGTTTCAACGAACACAAATGGCGGCAGCAAATCACACTTACATTATTTTTTTTGTAAGAAAACAATGTAGAAAGGAAGAGGAGAATTCAGAAATTTCGTAAGGAAAATCTGAGGGAATGGTCTGCTATTTATAGCCAACATGTTGAGTTTAAACGAAGAGGTACAACTCTTCAGAATGTCTGTTATGGCTATTCACGTAAAACGGCCATTACATAAATGGCTATTTACGCAAAATAAAATGGGAAATTAAACGCGGAGGAAGATTAATTTACCGTTACAAAAATCGCTAATTTGGATTAAAATAATACTACGTTAATCTTAATATTAACAAATAAATTTGGTCCAAAAAATTAATCAATCAATCATTTGACCAAATCCGAAGCCGAAGCCGAGTCGAGCCGAGCGAGCGGCGACGACGACGACGCGAGGCTTGCATTCTTCTTAACTCTTTAAGAGCTAGAAGAAGAGCAATTGTATATATACCGATCAAAAGTCTTTTCCTCCTACAATATGGGACAATATCCCTTTGTCAAGGAGGAAAATTCAAATATTTTATTTTTTCCTCCATTTCCCATTCACCCTCTTTTAAGCTAAACCAAGCTTAAAACCCAACAATCCCCCACATGAATGGGGAATGGCTATATCACGAAAATATGCATGAAAACTGTGTGATTCGCAAGCAAGGATTAATAGCATCTCTATAAGTAGGTTTTCCTTTGTACTTTCCGTAGTGAACTTATGTCGGATATACTCTGTCAATCGGTAGATTTGATATCTTTGAACCGTCGAACTTTGGTGTATACCTAGACAACCATAAGTCACACAATCAACCCTTAACCGTCTTTAGTTCTCATTGTTATGTTCTTTTTAGCCATGAACACCACTTGGTTTCATAAGTGCATAGAGAACTGGCCTTACCAAATTCTCCTTGAAGCGGCTAACACTTTACACTTACATAGGTGATTCCTAAACGTTTCATCCCGTAGATACACTATTTGGTATACCCCGTATCAAATTTAGAAACCACTAAAAAACCTTAATGCTTTATCCTTGGTATTGAATATTGTCTTATCACGAGAATGGACCAAAATTTTAGTTGACAATGTTGAACCGTCATTAATGACTTTGTTTGATCTCCTTGAACCTAGATCTTGGGATCTCTAGTCTTCTAGGTAGAGTTACCGCCACAATGACTTGTCATCGCCCATAGTCCCATTCCCCTCTATGATTTCTCAACTACCTCTCTAGTTGGGCCTTTCGTAAGTGGATCCGATATATTATTGCTTGAATTTATGTAGTCAATCGTGATAATTCCTCTAGAGAGTAATTGCCTAACGGTTTTATGTGTTCGTCGTATATGACGAGATTTACCGTTATACATAACGCTCCTAGCCCTTCTAATTGCCGCTTGACTATCGCAATTTATACATTTTGGGGCCAACAGTTTGGGCCAAAATGGATTATCTTCCAAGAAACTTTGGAGCTATTCAGCTTCTTCACCGGCTTTATCTAAGGCTATGAACTCAGCCTCCATTGTAGAGCGGACAATAAACGTTTGTTTGGACGACTTTCAAGATACCCCTCCTCCACCAATAGTGAATACATATCCACCTGTGGACTTAGAATCAGTTGAACCGGTGATCCAATTTGCATCACAGTATCCCTCAAGCACCGCAGAATATTTACTGTAGTGCAAAGCAAAGTCCTGTGTATGTTCTAAATATCCCAAAACTCGTTTCATTGCCATCTAATGAGATTGATCTGGATTACTCGTGTATCGACTCAATTTACTTATAGCACAAGCTATATCTGGTCGTGTACAATTCATGATATACATTAAACATCTAAACACACGAGCATAATCCAATTGTGATATGCTTTGATCTTTGTTCTTTGCTAGTGCAAGTTTCACGTCAATTGGAGTCTTTGCAACTTTAAAATCTAAGTGCTTGAATTTTCCAAGTACTATTTTAATATAATGAGATTATGATAATGACATACCTTGGGAAGTCTTATGGATCTTAATACCCTTAATTAAATCAGTAACTCCCAAGTCCATCATATCAAACTTGCTAGTGAGCATACGCTTAGTCGCATTTATGTTGGCAATGTCATTACTCATTATCAGCATATCATCCACATATAAGTAAACAATGACTATGTGATTTGGAACATTTTTAATATACACATATTTATCGTATTCATTTATCTTAAAATCATTTGACAAAATTGTTTGGTCAAATTTCGCATGCCATTGTTTGGGTGCTTGTTTTAGTCCGTAAAGGGACTTAACAAGTCTACATACCTTCTTTTCTTTACCTGAAATCACAAACCTTTCAGGTTGTTGTATGTAGATTTCTTCCTCCAAATGTCCATTTAATAAGGCTGTCTTAAAGTCCATTTGATGAATTTCAAGACCATAAACTGCAGCTAATGCTACTAACGTTCGTATGGACATAATTCTTGGAACTGTAGAGTATGTATCAAAATAATCAAGACCTTCTCGTTGTCTATACTATTTGACCACAAGTCTTGCCTTATATTTATCAATAGTGCCATCATCTTTTATTTTCCTCTTAAAAATCTATTTAGAACCCAACGGTATATTTCCAGGAGGAAGATCAACCAGTTCTCATGTATGGTTGTTCAATATGGATTCTATTTCACTATTGACTGCTTCTTTCCAAAATAATGATTCCAAAGAAGATATAACTTCTTTAAATATTTGAGACTCATTTTCCAATAAGAAAGTCACAAAATCTGGTCCAAATGAAGTAGACATTCTTTGACATTTACTACGTCTTGGATCCTCGTGATTAGACGTACTTTCTTTTGTTTCTTCCCGAGGTTGTTTAGATCCTTCACCAATCGATTCACATTACTTTTTAAACGGATATATATTTTCGAAGAACTCAGCATTATCTGATTCTATAACCACATTATTATGAATGTCGGGATTTTCTGATTTATGAACCAGAAATCGGTATGCTTTACTATTGGTCGCATATCCTATGAAAAAACAATCAACGGTTTTCGGTCCTATTCTTACCCTTTTGGGTTTAGGAACTTGCACTTTTGCCAAACACCACCAGACTTTAAAATAATTCAAGTTGGGCTTCCTTCCTTTCCATTTTTCATATGGAATGAATTGCGTTTTGCTATGGGGTACTCGATTTAGTATTCGGTTAGCCGTAAGAATGGCTTCCCCCCACAAGTTCCGTGGCAAAGAAGAACTTATCAACAAAGCGTTCATCATCTCCTTTAATGAGCGGTTCTTTCTTTTCGCAATCCCATTGGATTGGGGCGTGTAAGGGGCCATTGTTTGATGAATAATTCCATATTCTAAACATATTTCTTCAAAAGGAGATTCATATTCACCACCTCTATCACTTCTTATCATTTTGATTTTCTTATTAAGTTGCGTTTCAACTTCATTTTTGTATTGTTTGAATGCGTCTATTGCATTTCAACTTCATTTCTTTTGCTAATGATAGACCGCATTGCGATTTTTTCTGATTTGTCTTTAATAAAACACATGTAAAATAAAAGTCGGAAATGTTTTCCAATACATAATGCTCCGTTGATGTTTCCATACTTTGCCAGAGTGTCGGCTACAGCGGTGCCTTCCCGATACAAGCGTTCTTTTCTATATTACGATCGGTTATTCCTTGCGAATATATTTTGCTATTGTGTAAATTTTACACGAAAGTAGTTTGTCTGTTTCTCGGCAAAACGGTTTCATCAATGTTTAGCGGCTGTTTTGTGTAACCGTATAAGGGGATGTAACGATTTTGTAGTGGGTATTTTTAAATAAAAGCACATATCAAAGTTGGTAAAACGTTAATACGTGCTGACGGCGAGGGCATCAGAAAAGAATTTTTTAATGAGGGCTAAGTCTTGTTAAGTTTTGTTGAGATCTGAACTTGATTGGTCCTTTAGTTCTTGAATTAACTACATACAATGTTAACGTACTTAGCGGAACTTAAAAGCCTACTCTTTTTCTATGGACTTGTGTCCTTTAATAAATTTCTCAATTATTTCTATTTGGTAGTTGATAAAATACTTTGGGTGTTTTACGAAATACTCTGTCCTAATAATAAATTGGAATGTTGATCTTGTTTTGATTACATAGCTCTTCCTGGTTCTTTGGA